TTTATTTGAATGTCTTGCTGTTTTATTTGCTGTTGTATCTTGAGTCATTTACTGGTACATTTCCAGGTTTAGTTACTTCTTTGTGAAGGTGCACAGTTTATATAGTATGTGGTTGTTTATGTGTGTGTGTCTACTTGTGGCTTTTTGCCTTGCAGTTAGGAATAAAGTAGTTAGAGTTAGTGGTAGCACACTGTGATTCTTTTAACAGCCTTCACACACCTCATTAACTTTGTTAATGAGTATGTAATCAGACACATTTCCTCTCTGTCTTTTCTTCCTATTTAAATGGAAGAATAAAATTAAGAGTATTCGGCAAGGATAAGCATTTTCTTATCATGCAACTGAGTCAGGAAATCAAGAAAGCAGAGGGTCTATTTTAGGTAAACACTTAAATTAATGCATTTACACTGGCACATATACAAGCAGTACAGGAACCAGTTTTCAGGGTCAGCATTTATTCATCAGTATGTCCAATATATCTAATAATTAGGAAATACATGTATTTACTAGATATCACTTTGCTGGTTTTAATAAACAGATAAAGGTACAATAAAATAAAAATGGATGAAATAAGGGTGGAAAAGCAGCAACAGGAAAACTCACACTATGGGGATATTTACTAAGGTTTAACAACTAATCTTTAGTGTTAAATAGTGAACTTACATGTGTGGCATGTGTTCATATATTTACTAGGGAGTCATAATGGGGTTTTGTACGGGAGAAAATGAATAAAATTGGCACCGCAGTAATTTTGCAGTAGATTTTGTAAATATCCCCCATGTCTGCATTGTTGTGGATAAAGAGTCCTTTACATATTGATTTATATTCACCACTTTTCTTTACTTTTGAAATGCAAACACACCATACTACTATCTAAAAATCTATTCAGTTTAGCATTAAATGTTTCACATTTACCTGCAGTTTAATGTTGGAAAATCTCTATTTTCTCAGTCTAATCCCATCATTCATTTAGTATTTATTCATTTAAGAGAATAGATTGAAGAAAAGATAAAAGTGCAGTCCATAGTATGTATTTGTGTCGTGCAAAAGAAGGTTGACGTTGTGTACGATGTTAGTCCAGATGGAGATCAGAGGTTAATGATGTGAATCAGACAGGAACGTTCAGAGTGCGACTAGTCTCCACACTAGGCGCCTTGAACTACTGCACATCTGATAACATTGCTAATTATTCCAAATATAGAATGTGCAGGGATTCTTGTAAACATGCATATCAGTAGCTAAGTTTGTCAGAGCACTTTACAATGACTAAACAATACCATTGTTTGAGGTTTTGTTTAAATGAAACCTTCATAGTCTTGACAGCGGTGTTAATAGCTGTCGCTCACATGATGAGAACACACCTGAAAACATATGTTACCTCATCATTTGTCCTACAGTGGGAATGAACTGTGAGCAACATTAATGCACTAACTGCCCAATCTCAGATATGTACTGCATTAATGTGGATGTATACCAGGTTTACACCGTTAGAAGGCCAGCACTGACACACTCGCTCTCGCTCACTCAGGCATTGCTTCACATACCTGTAATGAACAAGGACTGGTGGAACAAACAAGGAAACAAAAAGTTGTAGCCTGACAATAATACAACACTCTGTGAGATGCCTGGAGACCTGGACTGGGGCTGGAGGCAACAGCCATGCCTCCAGATAGTCTTCATAGCATTGTAATGAGTGCATGGAAGGAGTCTGGGCTGTGGAGAGTGTGGCATGGCTCTGATGGTTTCCATGACTTTTTTAGCCTGAACAGACACGTGCAAGTGGAGTGAAGACTGGAGGTTATGATCAGTGTTTCTGCTTCTGACACTTAACTTTATCGGCTCCATGCTTCTGCAGTGCTTCACAATCTGATGAACCTGAAGTTAACTAAGTCTCAAACCATATACATACTTTAAAAAAAACCTCTATATTACTAAATACTCAAAAAACAGAATGATCTGGTGGAGAAATAAAGGACAAAGAATTAAAAAAAAATCTTTCTGTCATTTAGTTGGTTGTATTAATGGTAGTATATCTTGGCCACTTCTCAAATGATGCTCTGTGGTTGTATTTGGTGCATTGCTGTAGATTTACTGTCATGAGTTAGTAACAAAGACCACAGTGGCAAAAATCCCTCTTTGCGGTGACTGTTCTCACATGTCTGTTTTTGAAGGGATCAGTGCTTCCCTGAAAAGCTGCTTCCAAGCTAATCAGAAATGTCAATTATCTCAGACCCAACACAGTCCAGCTGAGTTTTCCAAATACCAGCCAGGGGCAACCACAGACTATATAAAATACAGCATGGTCTCCCACAGAAATGTCCTGTTTGCCTTTTTAAGAATGTGTAAATGCAGCAATGTAGCATTGCTAAATTTAATATTGCTCTGGCGCCCTTTAAAGTGTTGAACCCATCAATAAATCCTTAGAGGACACAGAAGACTTCAGACTCCAAACCATGGCCACTGTAATTATTCTGTTAGATGTGACAGAGGAGAGAGAGAACCAGGCAACATAGGTAAATAAAAGAAATACAGACTTTGTGGCAGATAAATAGCATCATTTAGGTCTGTCATGGGGCTTTTTTGGACACAATGTCTCAGAACAGACCTGCAGTTATAAAGTGTCTTCCTATGACCTCAACATCTAATCCAATTAAATGGCACCATAAGCAGCAGTGTATAGATCACTCCAGCCAACTGTGTTGCAGCGTGCTAACTGGATTATGGGGGTTTTAGTGTGCAGATTCCACCATGGAGCTTTCATTTTACTACTTACATGTTTAGCGTTGTATTCATGTTGTCAGACAGTTCCTGCCTCATCTTTCAGCCTCGTTTGTGTCTCCATTTCTCTGTCTTTCTATCTCTCTTTGGACGAGTGCTGTCCATTCACAGCAATCTGTTGTCATTTCTTATTGTACTTCAAAGAACAAACATTCATTCATTCATTCATTTTCTACCGCTTAGTCCCTGAACAGGGTCACGGGGAAGAACAAACATGCACATACAAACCCAGAAAAGGCATACTGCACCTTTCCTAAATGTCCATGGGGAGAAGTCATTAACAGTGTGTCTGCGGTGCAGCACGACGGCATCTCCAAGTGTTTGTATGTTTGTTGTGGGAAGGTGAGGAGAAGGTGAAAAGACCCGTTAGTCATTAGACACAGTGCAGGGCCAGGTAGACAAAAAGCATTCCTCTCACATAGGAGCCCCCTTGATAAGAGGCACCAACAGAGCTCGGGTGCTAGACTGACTCAGCTTTCAACTGAAGGCAGGCTGTTTCAACAAGACAACAACAACAGAGTTAAAGAAAGCACAACTGTGTTGGCTCCCATGAATGCTAGTGAGGAGGCATGCAACTGATTTGATGTTTGGGATATGATCCTGCACAGTATGGCAGACTGACAGAATAGACAGATTACTGTTGTGTAATTGCCTGCTAACTGTGTTGCCTGCAAATCTCTGTGAAAGCAGATGTTACACAGATCTACTGAGGAAACACAAATGATAACATCAGAATGTGTCATTAGATGGAATATTTATGTTTTCTTTGTGTACAAGCCAGCGATGTCTTGCAGTTTGCACATCTGTACATGTGCGTTGCATTTTTGTGAGTTGAGAATAACAGTCAGATAAAGCTGTTGGAATGTGATGGACTTAACATAATTGGACGGCTTATTTGTTGGCTTATTCGCGGTACAAAGGTTTTCATTTTATACCCATTCTCATGTAGTGTCATATCATGTTAAATAGACAGCCATCTTCTAATGTGGTGAGCCTGTAAAGACTGGGCAAGTCCCAGCAAGTTACAGTCGCCTGTCAGCATACAGCTTGATCGCTCTATGCACTTCACATGCGTTCATATCCCATGGCATAGTGAACTATGCATGTTCAGGCAAAATGCACTGTTTTATTTTGGTAAAAGATCAAAATATGCTTTGGATTTAATATTGTCAAGCAACAAGCAAACACATAAATTCCAATTTTCAAATGATGGTGTATTGGCAGCGGCCTGTAGAGTACAGTTTTAGTTTCTGCTGTACCATAAATGCACAACCACTCAAGACAGATTTCACAATACAACTGCTCTGGTGTGTTTTGCTCCCCTCTTTTGTGTCCCGTTGAAACAATATCTGTGCAAGATTGATTCTGAAAAGGTTAATCCCTGAGAGTGATGTGTCATAGGAGTCTTGGGAACTCACTTTAACATTACCCCTTGGCATTCTTTAAGTGTGGATACACGTTGTGTGCATCATGGGATCACATGCTGTGGTGTATAAGAACATAAAATAAGTAATAGTCATCAAAATCATATGCTGAATTCTGGTGTTGTACAGTTATATAGATTCTGGTGTTGTGCTTTAGCTTCTCTTTGTGCAAATATAAGTATTCTGTTTACATCTGTCCCAGCTGTGGGAGTCCTGCATGCATGTGTTAGAAGACACACACATGCGGTGTCCTACAGTTTCCCTGTGTAGTGCATGTGTTTAGAAGAGGCGCAGAGTCTTTCTGAATGAGGTTAACTGACTGTTTAAATGGCATACAAAAGACTCTGCTAATTAAAACTATGGCTACTTGTGTTCCACTCACTCTCCTTCCCTCCTCTCTTCTCTGACCCTCCCCTATGTTCTCTCACTCTTTTACTTTCCACACACACTTTTCAAATGTCTAATTTGTACCTACCGTTAAGCTCTGGACACGCATACAGCCTGACACTAAAAGATGTTTTCTGCTGCAGCATCCTAATGAATCCCCCGGTCAGTGTTCACTGCCTTGGCGCTAGTTTGTTTGGTCTGTGTGCAGGCAGTGAGTTGGGCACCTCACACCAGAGCACGGTCAGTGCACAGAGAAGAGTGAAACTGAATAAAGTGTGAATTCTGCTGGTTGGAAAGCATGCTTTAAAACACTGCAAGTTAAATGTTTACTGTGGAAATTGTTGAAATATGTTAACATTGCTTGCAAAAAATGGTTGTTGTTGTACTATTGTGTACTTATTGTCTCTGCAGAGATCTGAGCGAGAACCTAATCCAGTCCATCCCCAGAAAAGCATTCAGAGGAGCTACAGACATCAAGAACCTGTGAGTACCTCTCCCTTTTTAGCAGGGATGGAATTACATAGAGCTGAAACTAACTATTGTTTTCATTATTTATTAATGAGTTGGTGTATAGAATGTCAGCAAAAGGCCCGTCACAAGTTCCCAGAGCCCATTATGATGTCTTCAAATGTATTCTTTTGTCTGACAGACCATTGTATTCAGTTTAGCATCATACACGTCTCAAAATAAATCAGACATTTGAGAAGGTGGAAACAGTAAATTTAAAAAATGCTCTTATTTCTGTGAAATGAGGAGTTGAAAAAGTGGCTAATTGTTTAGGTTTTCGAAGTATTTGGCAATGTTAACTCAGTGAAGTTAGTGAAGAGCGAATAAAGATTATACAGTGCAAAGCGAATCACACTGAAGGCTACTGTGAGTGAAGAGCAGAAGATGTTCCATTCACATCTCATTCAATATGATTCCAGCATTTTAACATTTGTTTCTTTATCTGGCTGAGCCAATTCCCCTCGGTGAGAGTGAAACATTATGTGCATATTGGTGTGTGTGTATGCTGGCTGAGTAAGCTAACTACCCTGCACACACACACACGCAGCTCCTCACAGATGCCTTGTAGCAACTCTGATTTACATCTACACCAGAGCATATGAGAAATCACAAACAAACACGATGATTTATGAGGTGCATCAATGCAGGTAAATAATCAGTAACGTCCCCTTCTGCTACTCTTGGGATTATATGAGCTGAGATGACTAAAGCAGTATTGATTTACTGTAGTTTGACAGTGTACTACTTACTGTATCAGTGAGTACAACCACCCCACAGGGAGACTGTGTATGTGTCTTGTGTAACAAAGCCTCTTTCTACTGTGTGATTTGCAGTCAGCTGGATAAAAACCACATCAGTTGCATCGAGGACGGAGCCTTCAGAGCTATGAGAGGCTTGGAAGTGCTGTAAGTGTTTGAAGTGATTTATCCAGCTTCACCCTGTATCATTCCATCAAAGCACTTAGTTAAATTAAGACATTGTTTTGCCCTGCTAATAACCATAACTAATACATACACACAATGCAAGCCTTTAATTAGTATGGCCTTAGTTATTATGCCAAAATACCCCCAGTGGGCCTCGTGAGGGGGTCTGTATCATGGAGACCAAGCTCCATTAACTCCATTATTCCACACAGTTGAGAGCAGCCTTCCCCTTCGATCACATTAGCACCCCACTCCCACCCACTCCTCCACCTCATCTACACCCCATCCAGCCCTGGGCAGACTATCTGACAGAGCTCCAACCATCCTGAAATCCTATTCAAGTGAACGATCCACCCTGGACACGTTGGCAACCATGTTATGCAGTTTGGTTTATAAACATTCAAAAGATCATCCCTTGTCAAAATTCCTAATCACAATGGGGGGGGGGGGTACTTTGACAACCTTGTTATTTTGATGGTAAAAGACGGTGTTGTGCATATGGGTGGGGGTTTTGGGGGGCGGGGAGACCAAAAAATGCAGCCATTAAAGGCAACTTTCATGGTGTGGATGGATTGCAGATGTCATAATGGTGTAAGAGGGGATGGGGGTGTTTTGATGGGGTGTGTATGCATATGTGCTATGGAAGAGGAGGGGGGTGCAGGTTATGGTAAAGGGTTATTAGGCTGATTGAAATGAGCAGCTTATGTTGCTGCAGCTGATACCCGCAGTTTGAGGGAAGTGTGTGCACGTTATATGTTTCTGAAACTACAAGTTGGTACATTTGTGATCATACGTGAATGTGCATGTGTGCATATTTGCAGGCATGACTGTATGTTTGTGTAGGAGGTGTGTGGGCTTCCCATCTGTATAGAATGAGGTCTTATATTCCCAGTGGGATGCCACAAAGAGAGACAAAGCAAAAAAAGGGGTGAAAAAGGGTGGGGGGGGGGGGGTGTAAAAGGTGGAATGGAAGAGGAAGAGTGCAGCAAAACTCCTTCTGAAGTACCGGTATACATTTTAAAGTCTTTCCACTGCTGCACCGAGGATGTGACTTTGCTCTTTTCTTTTAACAGAACACTGAACAACAACAACATCAGCAGCATCCCTGTCTCCAGCTTCAACCACATGCCCAAACTCAGAACTTTGTAAGTCACACCTATCCCACCACAGTACCCTCCACCTCTTTGGAGGTATTCTTAAAAAAAAAAACAACTATATTCCACATGCATGCAGGCACAGTAGAGAAAGCGCTGAAGTCCTATATGATCTCAATGGGAGTCGAGAGGGGTTCTGTCATTCCAAGCAGGGCAGCGGGGGGGGGGGGCCCCCCAAAACAACAGCGAGCACCACAGAGGGGTCTGTAGCGACGCCAGGGGCCATTATCCCCCCTCCATCTAAAGCACACACAACAACAACTGGCCCAGATAGATGCAAATAGCCCCAGAAGCCTACTGTTTATTGTGCATTGTATGTGATTTCTAAATCTGAAATTATGTTCAAATTAAAACAATTATGCCTGCTGGAACTCTCAGGGCCGTGACGCCACTGTTCTTGTGGTGGTTTCCTCGCTCCCAGTGGGGTTATATTAAAAAGCTCTTCTGTTTGTGAGTACACTGTGTGTGTGGTGTGTGTGTGTAGCGTACGTGCTTCAGAGGTCCACCACACCACAGCAAGAGTTATTCTGGACAGGCACAGCATTCCAGGAATGTCATGTTTGGAGTATTGGGTTTAGAAAACTCCTCTTTAGTGCCCCTCCTTTTTGGAATGTGTCATTTACAATCTCCTGTGTAGTGTATCATTTAGTGTGTTTCACCACACAGATGGGATGCGATGAGCTCTAGGAAAGCAGACACTTCAAATGCCATTTGTGTCTTCAACTGTTTTTAGATTTTTGCAAAGAAAGAAGGTGTTTTAATGCATCCATGTTTAATTTCATTTCTCTTTTAATAGCCGTCTCCACTCCAACAATCTGAACTGTGATTGTCACCTGGCCTGGTTGGCCCAGTGGCTCAGACAAAGGCCCACAATTGGTCTGTTTACTCAGTGTACAGCCCCTCCTGAGCTCAGAGGACTCAATGTGGCAGAGGTACAGAAACACGAATTCAGCTGCTCAGGTAAGACTTGTGGAGCTACCTACACTAAACTTTAGAAGAGAGAAACTGCAAGAATGTTGTCTTTGATATTATGTATTGTTTAATGAATAGGGGAAGCAGTATAGCAGCATCTCAGACAGGGATCTTTTGTTGCACAGTCAGTTTTTGGCATGAATGATCATTTAAAAGTACAAGATCATTCTTTCCAAAATCTGACTGTTCTTGCTAGTAGATGTTCTCCTTCCTCCACTCCCATTGTGTTTTTATGTCAGCCACCTGACAACCCTCGGCTCTCCTCTGGCCCTTTAATGCATCTCCAGTTTTCAGAAGCTGGCTGCAGCGCCAAAAAATGCCTGACATGTATAAAACACACACACATAGATCAAAGGCTGCCCCCACTAACAGTAATAACCCTCTCTTCAGTTGTCATTACTCATGACCGTCTGACACAAAAATTATTTTGGCTTTGAACTTGTTATTTCTCTCTTGCTATGTGTGTGTATAAGGGACAGATCAAGTGCATGTGTTTGGCATGGTGTGTGTGCATTGGGGTTATCATATCAGGGCAGTAGAAACAGCATGAGAACCTTCACTCCCCACAAGGCCATCTTACTCTCAACACCAGCTGCAAGGGGTGTTTGCATCTCCACGGGTGTGTTTGTGGATGTGTGTCCTTCTCTTTTCATGGGATGTGATTTTTATGCAGCCATACAGCACGACAGCACAGATCATTAAGTCTTCATCACGCAGGGAAATAGCTTCAGAGCGTGGGAGTGTAACAGTTGTAGATACGGAAGGGCTGCAGAGGATGCCAGGGAAACTTTGGGGTTTGGTAGGATACAGATAGAGAAAGTTTTTGATGATGGGGAACTTCTGATTAAGTAGCATGATGATATTGGTTTCCATCATGTAGGGATTTTAATGGGGTGGTGTTTTTTTATCTAAGAAAACTGTTATAGACTGGCTCTTATTGGTGTGAGTCCGGATTTTGGTTACGCTTTCTTGGTGAGCCAAAGAGGATGAGCACAAAATCTATTGCTATGTACGTCTGCCTGTGCATAAGCCACACAGTCATGTATTCACACAAATGTGCACACACACATATACTCCCAGTTTCTTCTTGAGTGGATGAACGACCAAAAGTTGAACTCCCTGGGAAGGAATCATGAGCAACTGGCTCGCTGGCATGCACATGCACACATATACTTGATGTATTTCAGTGTTCAGCGCTGTTTGTGTATGTACATTATATAGTTGGTGCTGCTGAGGCCAGGCCAGGCCACCTATGGGGGGACTTTGAGCAGTGTGGCGCTGTGTGAGAATGTCAGGAAGAGGGAGAACAGAGGCATGTTGTAGTTGTTCTGAGAGGCAGGGGAAGGACAATGGGTACAGAGTGTTATTAGTTCTTGAAAAATAAGATGAAATTCTGCAGCACTCAGCATCATGGTTCACTGACTATCGCTCCCAGTGTTCAGCTGGAATATGTTTTTGTTTCAGAAAAGATTTGGTTTTTATTGTGTATCTATACTTAATGATCAAGACACAGGAAGAATTTGGTAAGACAAATAATTATAATCCAGGTAAAAACTGGATTTTAAAAATAACATTTGCAGAGAAAACCCTTTTTTGAGTTAGTTAGAAAGACCCTGGTGCATCACCCATCTCTCAAAATTTCTCTTCACTTTTTATGACCACAAACGGTTTTGGAGCGTTTGTCATCACAGTTACAAGCTGCTTGTGCCAATTTATGAACAAAATTAATGAGTGATAAATTGGATTACTGCTCCTAAGAAATAATGAATGGAGTAAAAATAATATGTTGGTAATGCACAGTGAGTACTAAATTGCCTGAGGTGTGGAATAACAACAAAAAACAAAATCCTGCAGTGGGAAACAGGGAAGAAATGACTGTATGAAGAGGGGAAAAGGGGATGGGAATGGATGAACCCAACTGTTGTGCTAAACGAGAATTTGAGGAAAGAGACAAATGGGAAGAAACCAAAAATAGCATTTTGAAATGATGGGAGAAATGAAGTGGAGTGAGGTTAATGTAAAGACTTGCTAGCAAATAGGCAGGAGGTAATGGATTGCAGTGACAGTCATTGGCAGAGATAGAGGCTGAAAATGAGGACACTGAGAATAAGGAGAGAGAGTAGAAAGAGCGCCCAAAGGAGGGGAGGATGATAGAAAGGTGTAGGCAAATAGGAATGAGAAACAGATAATGGTGAAACAGCACTATAAAGAGCAGAGGACCAGCGTATATCAAACAGCTTCACCTCAAGTATACCTGTCAGAGCTGTCAGTGTGAAGGCCGCTCAAGCTGCGCTATGAACCCTCCTTGTTCCCAGGGCTGTCAAATGTGCCATGTTAGATCAGAAGGGAGTTATTCTCTGCCCTGCACCTGATCCCAGATCTGTCAAACCTCTGCCATCCCAGATCACAAGGGCTCAGATCACGTGGGTTGAGCGACTGTGCGAGCGTCGATTCACACTCTTGGTGCTATTTGTTGTGTTGATTCCCAGATCTGTCAGAGCATCTTGTCCCTTTAGGGAACTGATTATGTTTGGCCAGATACAAAACATGAAGTTTGATTATAAACAGTGATTATTAGCCTAATGGCCCAAGAGCCAGAGCCAGTAATTTCATGGTAAAATGTAATGTTAAGCAGCAATCTTTTTTCTGTTTTAGGGAGTTTTGAGCTTTCCTCGCTGACTTTCACCATCACTCCCTCGCTCTTCCTCTTCCTCCATCTCTGCCCCCCTAAGGCAATTTAAAAGTCTGTTTTATTCATTTTATCTGGGTTAGGCTTACAGACACACAACTAGTAACACACACCACACATATACTGTACCAAACACGCTGTATTGGCAGCGCACTCGCCGCTCTTCACCACGTCGTTGACAGTGCCGCAGCTATTTGAACAGGAACCCAGAGACAGCATGATGGGTTGTGTGCTTTGTATGCAAATTGAAAAGTTGAAGTGTTACAGAAAAATGGAAGTGAAGAGGTGGGGGTTACAGAGCTGAATGTGCAGAATCGCATCAATTCCACCCAGAGAACAAAGACTCAGGGGGAAAATTTGTGAAGAGAGCTCACTGGATGTTATTTGGAGGCCTTCAATTGCCACTTCAACACTTCTGTTCATGTCTCTCTTTTCCTCACAGTATACTCTGACTCTTTTTCAGAAAATAACCTAGTTTCTTGCCCACTGATTCTCAAGGTTTTGCACGTTTATACTGAAGTCAAACGTAGGATGTTTTATTTATTTTTTTGCAATGTCAAAACATCCCAGAAAATGTGTGTTCATTTGCTATTCAGTTTATAAAGCGCAAAGAATCTGAGCTCCACTTAAGTGCAAGAGCTGCACATGTCGCCGTACAAATCTTCTAACAAACTCTCTCACCCTGTCGTCCTGTGTAGAGCCTGCTGCACTCACTGAAATCAGCAACATTGGCTCAACTTTCATCTCTCACGCAGTTTTTTTCTTTCTTTCTTTTCTGCATTTCTCTCCAGGTCACCAGGAGTCTTCGGGCCTGCAGGCGTGCAGCATCGGTGGAGGTTCTTGCCCTGCCATGTGTACCTGCAGTAACAACATTGTGGACTGTAGAGGGAAAGGTCTCACCGCCATCCCAGCCAACCTGCCTGACAGCATGGCCGAGATGTAAGGACACAACCTAAATCCATCTTAAACTGTTTTGATATATAGATTAATTTAATTCTCACTTAACTTAAATGTTATTTTAGCTCTCTGTCTAGATCCTTGTTTAACCAGCTTCCTGCATCATTTCTTCTAAAGGCATCCTATATTAGACTGCTTGGCATGTTGCAGAACATAATCAATTGAAAGGAACTAATTAGTTCTTTATATTCATATTATACAACAATGAAAATACATTATCTGGCCATAGACTATATATTGGATCTGCTATATTTAGGAAGATTGGATTTAGATTGGCTATAGTGCAACTTGAGCAGCAAAACTATAGGAAAGAGGTGGATTTCAGAGAAATGCAGGGAAATCCAGAGCTGCATTGTTTATTGAAGCAAAAGCATTTGTTTGATTGTGTGCGTTAAAGATGTGCATGCATTTCCACATGTATTTGTTAGTGTATGCTCATGCAGGGGGTTTAACACAGCAGACAGGATTTGCACTTGCATGTTGTTTGTACATACAGTATGCACTTCTAACATGCTTTTAGCACCATGCGTCACCTGACTGCGAGACATTCATCCATTTCCTATATGCTGAGAGAAAGTCATGCAGACTTGGAGCAGATCTGAACTGAGACTGCATGCTCTTATTGGCTCATATGGCTGTAGACCACAAGCAGGCGCTTTGCTAGCATCCCTCTATCAGCCTTCTAACATCATTGTTTACAGCCCACATGCTATCAGCCTGCTGTAATTCCTGGCTAGACTTTTCAATGTAGTGCTTTTATTCTTATTATCAGGGGTTTAATGTCCCTGGCAGAAGTCAGGAGTCTGTGAAGTTTGTGATTTATATACAGTGAGAAAAAGGGAGGATGAAGAGAGAAAGCCAGCGGTCACGTTGCATGTTCCTCCAAGGAGCCTGGTTAGGAGTTAGGAGGACACAGCAAGTTTCTAGGTCTCCTCCTACCCATGAGATCTGTTTAAAAATACCCAACTAACATAGAAGTCACAGATCCCATGTTCCCCAACAACCCTAACCCATTTTTACTGCAGAGGTGTGCTCAATTTCCTAATTTTGACTTGCAGTTTACACTTCTGTGTGTTCTTGGCTAATATAACCACTTACAAAACACTGATATATTATAAATCATTTCAGTCTTTACACATGTGCATTTTGAGATGTAAACTATTCAGCTTCACCCTTACATCTCAGTTTTTGCAGTGGTTTATAGGCCTCTTCAGCATGCCCTTCACCTGTAATGTTCCACAAGTGGAGTATGTCATAGAGCCCCATGTGATCTATGAGCCAATAAACAGCGAGCAGAACTAGTGGAACAGGAAAGTGCCGTGCACAGGTTTTATAGACAGTGGATTCTTTCTGCACTGCAGCTGAGCAAAGACATTTTAAAAAATCTCCCTGCCCTTCAGATCTAATTGGTGCTTAACCGCGTCCTGCTAATAAACTCTACCACATTATGTTCCGATTTATCTTTTACAAGACCAGGGTGAAACACTGGCTTCTATCACATACATTCCTTCTGTCCTGGCCACCAGAGCCTTACAGGGTATGTATTCCCACAGCCTTTTGCTCTTTCTCCTCTTCTCTTGATTATTTCTCCCCCACACTTTTCTCCATCTTCTCTCTCTGTATCCCAACATGCCAAATCACCACAGGCAGATTTGAGATGGCAAATCAATGGTGAAGGAATAAGTAGGGGAGGGAGGGGGGGCTCGCTCGGTAATTTGGTGCAGCAGGTTTGATCTGTGCTTGGAGTTCATTATAAAATCAGTTTCAATTACAGCAAAGCGGGTTGCTGGGCATCAAGGCCAACCTAATGCCTTGTTAATGAGGCACTCGGAAACTCGCGTGCACACACAAACACACACACACACACACACACACACACACACACACACACACACACACACACACACAGACACACTGCTCTCATTAAGTAGAAATCGGAGTACTGCAGTCTCACTGCCCTGCTCTCCCCTAATGAATGCCAGTGTTTTGTTTATTGCTGTGGGGATGTGAGCTGGTTTCTGTGCTCCTCTCTTGTGAGACCAGGCCCAGTTAGCCTAAATACTACCACAACAGATTATTATGCACCATAGTGTCTGTCTGACATGACTGAACTTAGCCATAAAAGTCTGCCCATGCCTCTCATCCACCGCTGCGGTCCTGCCATCCGTTTCTGATTCATGCATTCACTGGGTGAGGCATAAAGTGTTTCCCCTTAATGAAAATCATGCTTAGACCCTAATGAAAATGATGAAGACCATTTACCGGGCTGACACAAGCACCAGCTCAAGGCACACATAAAAATGTTCGCTCTGATAAACTGGATAGGAATGATTGATTGTTTGCTCTGAGAGATTGTTTCTTTTTTCCTCTGCCAGTTGGACAAAGCAGCTCCTTTGTTGATTGGAGGGATTAAGTCGCTTGAATATATCGATCGGCCAGGAGCAACAATGGTTAAACCAAAGTTAAAAAAAAAAACCTATCACACAGCATTGTGCGTGTACCCTTGTCTGGCTCAGAGGGTTTTGTTATACGCTGACACAACTGACAGTGACGGTGAAAAACATGCAAACAGCATTAGTGCCAGACTGGTTTGGACCAGTCAGACAGATGAGAGAAGGAGTTAAAGCCACTTGGCCCAACGCTGCATGGTGAGGGCAGAGGAACCACAGCACCGTCACTCTGCTGTAAATCCGTGGACACACTGGGATAAGCAGACCAAATCAAACAGAGAGAGCATGTCCACCGCAGGATTTTGTGGTCTGGAATCACTGCTATTCTAAGAATGTCAGTTGCTGTATCGCTCCATAAATGTAGGCCTTAACTTTGAAGAGAAATGATTCTTGATTGAAAAATTCAAATCTAAACTGTTAAGTGGCTGTGTCTAATGTCTAACAGAACATTTATCCTCCCATGTATACACATAAACAGAGCACAAGGCCTGAGAGGCATGTAGTAAATCTGAAATGTCTCAGATAGAAAAATTAAATCATGTGGGAATGGTTGTTCACCAAGAAATCACTTTAAGGGGGTGATAGTTTCATCCACGAACAACATTCTGTTTGTAAAACAGTTTTGCAGAATATAAAATATTTCTCATTTATCAGTGGTGAATATCAGCATTTAAATGATCAGTTTAATAATCCTGTCATAGGCACTGCCCTAGCACACTCTGCACAGGCTCGTGCCTCCTGTTCTAGAGCCAGTTCCTCTGCTGGGATGCAGCATTGAAGGACAGCCAAACAGCCCCACTGTGGGGACCCGCTAAGCCTTGTTAAGGACACTTTTAAAAGCTGTGAACTGACCTGCAGATAAACATTCCTCCGCCAGCTTCACCAGGGAACTGCTCTGAAACTGAGCTGGGTCCGACGTAGCAGGCACTTAGAAACACACGTTCGTCATTTCGTTCTTTGGCAGATTTTATGGAGAGAGGTTTGTCAGACCTTTTTCTTGTCAACTTTGCCATCAGCAGCTCTTAGGCTCACAGGAAAAAGTAAACTAAAAGAACTAATATTTCATCAGGCTGCAAAGATTTACAGACACATCACAGACACCCAGAGGATAAAAACACACTCAAACAAGTGAAATCATTATTGATTGCCGGATCTCATATGAGAACATCAGTGCTGCAAACTGTAACTGTTGCACCAAGAAGAAATATGACTTTTAGTCAAAGGCCTTAACACCCTCCTACAAAACAAGACAGAGTCGTTTTTCCCCTCCGGCCCTTTTCCAAGGCACTCTAGTATTCCGACTGTTTATTGGTTTTGAGGATGTTATGACTCCAACAAGCCTGGACCTATTATCATTGGGGAATAGATCTCCACTAATATAATCAGGCCAGTCACCAAGGGTCAGAGGTAATGGGAGATTACTCAGCTTTGTTGCCAAGAAGAAGTCTATTGTTTGCTTAACTGATGGTCTCTTCTCTTCTCTCCTCTTCAGACGTCTGGAGCAGAATGGGATTAAGTCTGTTCCTCCTGGAGCCTTCTCTCTCTACAAGAAACTGCGTAGGATGTAAGTACAGCAGTACTCTCACCCCAGGGCTAAATAATACAGATGAGAACAAGAAACTGAGGGCTGGAAAAAGAAGCGACAACTGGCAGCCTTCTCATTCCAGTCCTGAAAAGCATGAGGTGTTTATTTTGTCTGTGCATGAAGAACATATTCTTGTTCTCAGACAAGGGGGTGGCATGGAAAGCAAGAACTAGGATGCAACATGAGAAAAATAACAGCTCTCATCTTTCACTGCCGTACTGGTATTCCCCTGGCTAGTCTCATGTCCAGTCTGTGTGTGTGTGTGTGTGTGTGTGTTGTGCCTGCGTAGGCAAAATGTTAAATATGGCTGGGTTGATGATGAGGGGACAGAGAGTGTGCTAAAATGAAGGCTGAGGCTTTGCTGTCTCTGGGAGTGAACACTAACAGGCTGGTAGTTGAGGCTGAGTGGTTTTTCACCCATTCAGACAGCTGTCCGGTCAGCTAGCCAGCACACACTGGTCAACCAAACCCATAGCTCCAACACCACTGGGACTGGCCGACATAGCAGCGGGAAGGAGGAGGAAATGGAAGGTCAGGGAGTTTCTCTGCCCTTCCTAAAGGATTCCTCATGGTTTTATCATCCAGCTCCAGAGACAGTTTGAAGTTCAGCTGAGGTGAATGCAGAGCAGCCTATGGACCAATGCAGCTGTTATCTCAGTGTAACTCCAGGAAAGTTCATATTTATTAGTTTTTTTTTTTAAGTTATGAAAAAACCACAATGCATAAAAGTGTGAAACTGTGAACCATGAAAAGAAAGAAACCCTTCATCTAAATAAGTATTACACTAAGCTTAAAACACTGACACATTAAAAAAGTGGCCATTTTTATTGAATATGATACAAACTTTTGTGTTTTTCATACAATATATAGAAAAACCAAATTCAACAGCCAAACATTAAGAAATTGATCAAACAGAACTAAATGGTGTATCGCTCTCTCACGTCCCTGATCTTGTACTTACAGGAAATTAAGATTTATTTATACAAAATGTGTTTTTTGCTGTATCAGTGGAACTTGGGCCTTAATTTAACTCCACAAAACTAAAAAAAAAATAATTTCTCTACTTGTACAAAAAGTGAACCTTGAAGACTCAATCAAGTGTGCACAGTTTTCACATTTATTTATGTGCAACTGTAATAGAAATGTCTCAGCTTAAAATTGAGACAGAAATTGTTTTTAAGAAAAAGTATTATGACAAAATCTTGTGGTTTTCAAACATATATTAATGAAAGTGAGAATGTGTTGCTCTCCCCATCTGGTCTAAACAGATATAACATATGTGATCTGTTACTATTACTAATGCTGCATTTAGCAACAATAATGCATGGCCCTGTCTCTGTTGATTCAGCAGCTATGTGTCCTCACTGGCCCACATGGCCCTGTGTCCACACGGTGTGTAGACAGCACTGGTACCTTGTGATGAATATGGCCCATCTCCTGGGTCAGGGTCTCCAAATGTTCATATGCACATGTTATATTTAGTGTTAGTTTCAGCATATAGAAGATGTTTAAATATTTGATTATAATACAACATTAGGCAGGTAAAGGTTTATCTGTCTGTTTATCTGTGGTCTGCACAGGTTTGTGCACCCTGCCTCTCCTGACCTACTCTTCTCCCAGTAAATGCCAACCACAGTTTCACCTTGTCCTGGTTTGGATGGCCAACACACGAACTGTTCCTTAACACAGGGACGCAGTGACACCAACACATGCACAAATACACCAGTGCAGATGTTGGCTCCTTTTCCACATTTTCATTTCCAGGAAACCTCCGTCTTTTGCAAGAAGACAAATGGGTACTTATTTAACTGTTACCCCCAAATGAGAAAATATCCCTCTTCTCCCCCACATGATGATTTTTCTTCAAAGGTATCCAGTCGACTGGAGTTCAGTCCACATACCCCATTAACTCTCTCTCTCCATCTGTCCTTCTCACTTTCTTTCCCGCTGTTCCTCATTTACTGTTGCGTTTACTCACACAGACACACACCCACATAAACACACAGGTTTTTAGTGGTTATCCTGTGGGGAGAGGCCTGTGGATCCCATTAACAGTGGCTATGTGCAGAGGCAGTCTACTGTATTTTGCCTTGGATTTCAGCCCTGCACCCCATTTTTTTTTCCTGTCTCTCACACACACATACACTATGATACAACACAGGACCAGCTCATAGGCCGCAACTAATACAAGTAAATGTTTTGATTGTCTATTAGACTCTAGGCTGCTCCATTTCATCAGATCCCTTGATGGACAGTACTGTCAAATATGAGAGAGAGCTGGAACTCATCTGCATCCAGCTCATATAGTTTTTTCCTCCTCACTCACCAGAGGCCTTACATCATGCCACAATCCTATGATGGAAAAGAACTTTGACTTTCCCCCCAAAAACCTTCATTTCCTTGACTAATTCTTTGGCACTCTTCTTCTATGCAGTGACCTGAGCAACAACCAGATCTCAGAGATAGCTCCTGATGCCTTCCAGGGCTTGCGTTCCCTCAACTCCCTGTAAGTGGCCCTAAGCTGTGTTTGTGCGTGTGCATAAATATCCATACAGCTGTCTTTTCTTGTTTTTAAAGCAGGTCTGTTTTGTGATGTTCTAGTGTGCTGTATGGGAATAAGATCACTGACCTGCCCAAGGGGGTGTTTGATGGCCTCTATGCTCTACAACTGCTGTAAGTGGAACATGCTGCTGACACACTGCAGACATATACTGATTATCAGACACCCTTTACTCCATTTCGGTAAAGGATTCATAACCTACGCGTCTATAGTTTTCTAGATGGAATGTATAATGAATAATTGTATAAAGAACTGACAACATGCCCCCCCTCAGGTTGCTGAATGCCAATAAGATTCATTGTGTTCGTGCCAACGCCTTCCAGGACTTGCAGAATCTCTCACTATTATCACTCTACGACAACAAGATTCAAGCCCTTGCCAAGGGCACTTTCGCCTCCCTACGAGCTATACAGACCCTGTGAGTTAAACACAAATGAACACACACAGGCATTCTACTGTACATGCTCTGAAACACACTGACCTGTCAAACAAAAGCGTGAGCGAACTCGAGCGTTGTTTACACCCATGTCAGTGTAACAACACAGGAATGGAATCATGAGGTAAAGAGGGGAGTAAATCTGTCATCTTCACAAACGCATGGACACACACAGTTTCTGCAGTCAGACTGAAATTAAAAACACCACACCCACTCTTTTCACCACTGTTGCAAACTGTATCAATTCTGGCTATAATGAGTGTTTCTGATACACAAGGCTGTTATCAATCAGATAGCCTTATCAGACCATTGGGGTGTCTAGCACGTCTGAAACACACTGCATTTCCACACAGTCAGTCATAAATGCAACACATACATAAGACCTGTGCTGCCACTTGCTTCATCACATACACACTTTGGTATAGAAGGCACTGGGTTTAAAGATTTCAGCTGTAAAATTCTTGGATCGGGTTATGACTACCTAGTGTTGATGGCAGCACACGCTCTTTAAACTGAAGCAGGGCTGAGTGATATAGTTGCATCTAATATACCAATATGCATATTTAGCTAAATATGTACAGTATACATTCATATTTATGTTTACATATAAACATGCTACTTGTAATTTTGTATTCTTGGCTTTTATCCCATCATTTTTCATGTCTGCTCCTTTTCTCCATCAGTTTCTTCTCGTTCTTATTTTGTCAACCTCTTTTATTTTTCCCCTTCTTTCCAAACCACCCTTTAACCTCTCTCTCTCTGTTCTCCAGCCACCTGGCCCAGAACCCATTTATTTGTGACTGTAATCTGAAGTGGCTGGCAGACTACCTGCGATCCAACCCCATCGAGACCAGCGGCGCCCGTTGCGCCAGCCCTCGTCGTCTCGCAAACAAACGTATTGGACAGATCAAGAGCAAGAAATTTCGCTGCTCTGGTAGGCTGGTGTCTCACTGTCACTGTCTCCAAACTTCTCCCCCTTATTTCTCTCTCAGGCTTTGTTTGTAGTCCACTTGTTTCTCTCCGCTCTACTCTTCCCTTCTTTCTTTCTCTCCTCCACTGGGAGTGGCTTTTATCTCTGCATTGTTCCCTCTACCTCATACCACATTTAATGAGTGATCATTCCTGGCAAAAGGTTTTATTTGACTTTCATTTACTGTGCTGGTACTCCTCAATCAATAACTCGCCAGACGAAATTGGGGCCAAGGAGGGAGTGATAGTTCACTGTTTCTCCATTTCCCCCCTCCATATATTACCACACCGTGAGTCTGGTTTCACATTCAAACCGCAATGAGCTGAGATCACCAGTCAAGGCTGGCATATGGGTTAGAGTTTCTGTATGTGCCCACCATTCCTCTGCCCTCTGCCAGTCTGAGGCACAGCTCCCTCCCAACCTCCATCTCCTCTTCACTGCTCTCTGCCTGCCAGGCTCAGGTTTCCTTCACCCTTCTTCACCCCACTTCCTTTGCCTTGTGCCCACTATCATGTTTATTTCACTGTGCAACACTGTCTGGCTCTCTGTACTGCTGAGGTTTCATACATATTTATAGCCTCATTTGTTTGGCTAGACACCATATAGAATGGAGTCCATGTGTTTCTTTTCTTCCCTTTTTTCCTCACCATCTCCCCTGTTCCCTCATGTCACTTTACCTTAGCAACAGCCAAATATTTGCCACCTTTTCACTATTACTAGTTTCTCCACATTTTCATTCACAGAGACAGTCCCAGGCTTTTTCTCTTTAACCATCATATACCTTGGTTCATGTGTCGTCATATATAAGGTCTATATATGACTGTTGAAGCATAACAACATCACAGCTACGCAGACCAGACTGGTCTCACTGACATCCGTCCCTCTTTCTTTTCTCCATCACAGCCAAAGAGCAGTACTTCATTCCAGGTGAGTGGCTTGTAAATGTTCACACCTAATCATCATCTTCTACTTTTCTTTGATGATCCACCCAGAATCATGTGGTGGCATCATTTATTCCATTCCTTACTGTTCACTAAAAAAAAAAAAAAAAAAATCCCCCACGGTTAAAAATTTATTTTCGTTTTTTTTT